AGACTTTAGAAACTCAGAAGCTGATCAAATATCGGGTTAAATATCGGTGGGGTGGCCGATGTCCGATATTCAGTTTTATGGCCGATACAGGCCGATACCGATAGGGGGCCAATTATATCGTGCATCCCTAATTCTTTGGTTCATTTTCCATGAAAAACAAACACTTAAAAATGAACAATGAGAAGGAATTTAAAGGAAGATGTTGAGCAAAGAGGGAGAAAAAAGCTGTGTTCTATACTCTGAAGTCTATATTTCATATGGACAATCTCAAGACCTTGAAACTTGTCCCTTGAATGTGTTGTTTTAACATCCTAGGTCAGAAATGTGAAACCTTTACATCTTTAATGTTTTATATCAGAAGTGTTAATATCTGTTCATTTCAGAATCATCATGTTAAACACTTTAACTCACAGTTTATCATATTTGATAGAGGAGTTTTTGAGACCTCTACATCATCAGTGTAGAGGTCAGTGAGTCAGACACATCTGGTGAAAAGAAAATCTAATAAATTACACAAAAATACCTAATATATCACAAAGGATACAAATAACTTGTCTAATTTAACTTGTTAAAAACTGATATTTGTTTTCATTTGTCAGAGTGTGTAATACGAGCTCTAGTTTAAAAAAGATTGAATTTTCTTAAAATTTAAAGGGTTAAAAGGGCCATTTGCAGCTGCATGAATGAAACTGAACATTTGTAATGATTTCAGTAACATAAAGAAAATATAAAATCAATTCAACTTAAAGATCAGTATTTCCAATTCAAAAGCCATGACAAAGTTTATAAAATAAAAAATTAAATGTTTTTTGCTATAACTGATTAAGGATGAATGCTGGATCATGGCAGCTGTTAAATGCCTAAACCCAGACACAGAGACTCACTGGAGACAAGAAAAAGTCCAATGTTTATTTAACTGGTAATAAATGTGCAAAGGATCAGACCTGGGTCTTCCCTGGGGAAAAAGTGAGGCACAGACCTCGGATGAAGAGAAAATGATTGATAATTAAGGTAATGATTGGTAACTTACAAATAAGCAAGAAGAGAGCTTACGGTTTGTAGGGGGCTGAGGGTAGGGGAGTCCAAAAATGGTTGGTGCAGATCTTCCAGTGGTGAATGTGTGGGGGGTTGGGTGTGGCAGGACCCGGCAAATACGTCTTGGTTCTGCAGGGCTTTGTTTCAGCAGCTCTTGCCAGAAAAAAAGAAGTAGAAGCAAAGGTAAGCAGCTTTGAAACACATTCTGTCAATACATTTGGATGTATGAACACAAGTGTGTAAACAAAATAAAATTGATTAATTAAGTCACTAAAATATAGCAGTATCTGGGGGGAAAAAAAGTAATTTTGTTATTTATGAATGCTTAGATTTGGTGATTCTGCTCGGCATTACTGATATAAGCCCGATTTTATGACATAACATGCCTTTAAGGCCGAATTAATTTCCATTGTGGGATGGACTGGGCCCACAGGCCTTGAGTTTGACACAGGTGCTTTATAGGATTCAGGCTTTAAATGCTAAGTGGATAGAAAATGCTGCTTAAACAAAAAAACATTTTTCCAGATAAATATCTAAAAACTATGGCATACAACCCCTTCACTCAGATATCTCTAAACTGAATCAAGTTAGATCAGTCGCCTCAGACTTTCCTAAATTGATAAGCAAAGTTCACCTTTATGTAATTTAATTTAATTAATTAAAGAAATAAAAAAAATGTGTACTATTTTCCTTTAACTCTTCAATGTTATAAAAATCCATTATAGTCTATCTCATGAAATCCCAGTAAATCAATTGAAGCTTGAGGTTGTAACACCTCCACATGAGAAAACCTGAAGGGACTTGGTTCTTTTCCAGTGCGCTGGTTCTGCTTTGTTTGATAAAAAGAAGCTCCTCACATTTCCACTAGAGGCAACGTTTCTGTCTTTCTGGCAGAAGGACGAGGTGGACTGATTCATTATGATCTAAGTTTAAACATAAAAGGCTCCTTTGATGTCTGCTTTCCATGAAAAGATGTTGCCTCTCATTGTGCAGTAGGCATTTCCAAAGCCTGATAAAATGAGACCTTTAACAGTTGGAGGAACAATAGACCAGTATTTCCCCAGCCGTTGCAATCATACTGTGTCTCTTTTAAGAACACTTTCAAATCACAAGCCCTTTTTATTCTCTGCTACTGCTTTGAATACGAGCCTCATTATTTATCCAAGCCAGAAAATTGTTAGCATTCACTGCGAAGCCCATCTGCACATGAAAAAACATTTTTGGGCTTTCATGTAGTCTTGGCATCTGTGAGGGGATTTACTCAATCAGGCGTTATTTTTGTGAAGAGGATGTACCTCAAACTCTTGGATTCTTTTAGATAGAAACAGGGGAAGAAAATTTACAAATTCATAATGAAAGCAAGTCGGGTTGTAATTGTCATTAAAGAAAGCTCATAATAGCGTTGATTCCATCAGGTCTTGTTTTTTTTCTTCTAGGTGTGTGGAACTCCAGAGTACATCGCCCCAGAGGTGATTCTCCGTCAGGGTTATGGGAAGCCTGTGGACTGGTGGGCTATGGGCATCATCCTGTATGAGTTCCTGGTGGGTTGTGTGCCTTTTTTTGGAGATACTCCAGAAGAGCTGTTTGGACAAGTCATCACAGGTGAGAAGTAAACAAGCGTCCTCCACATTAATTGAATACATATACTGCAAATTTTGCAAATTATAAACAGATAAGTCAGCGTTCTTATTTCATCTGCACACACTCAAAAAAAAAATGTTCTCCAATATTTTTAACCTCCTCATTATTTTGCCATCTTGTATCCTTCCCATTGCCTCATCCGCAGATGACATAGCGTGGCCAGAAGGAGACGAGGCTCTTCCTGTGGATGCCCAGCACCTGATCTCCTCTCTGCTGCAGACAAATCCTCTGGCGCGACTTGGCACAGGTCAGTCTCCTTTCAGTAAGACTTGAAAAAAATCTAGTCGGTCACTAATTCAATCTCATCAGGCTTTAGCTGTTTTGCACAAACTGGGCAAAACGTTCAGCCTCTAGATCTGCAAAGCCGGTAGAGATGGAAATCCCTTCCCCCACCAAGAGAAGAGCTGCCTAGGTACCTGTAACCTTGGTTCTTGCTGATCTAGAAGAAAAATGTCTTCATGTATTTCCCATCGAAGACAGTTTAATCAAACAAGTCACCTCTGTTGGGGTCAGAAAACACCTCCAGGCTTTAGGGCTGTACTCATCACCCTGACCAGGGGCGTCTCTAGGTTTAAGAGACAAGGGTGGCTCAGCCCCCAGAAGATAATGCGCGCGCTATGCGCGCGCCGAATTTTTTCAGTGCACCTGCTAAGGCGTTGTCTAAGACAAGCGTGTAACTTTGTGTTGAAAGTTGGTGGGGACGGCTCATAAGGAAAGGGAGCTACCTGCGCGAAGCCTTTTTTTTTTTGTTGGAAAGGATAAAGAAAATGCGAATAACATTTATCAATTTAATGCTTATAGTTGAAAACATAACTGTTACAATATTCACTTATATATTTTGTGCAAAAAATATCACATAAATCTAAACAGACAGTACAAATCAAAGAAATCAAATAAATATATCAATTTTGTAGAACATTTATTGGCGGTCAATTTTGGGTCACTTTTTAAAATTAATTTACTTTTAAACCAGGACTCGGACAAGATCTTATGGGACCTTAAGCAGAATATGATTAAGCAACTCCATCTTTCTGTCAAGAACATCCACTAGCAGGGTATCCAGGGGGGGATTTACCATTAGGCAATACTAGGCAGTTGCCCAGGGCCCCAAGTTCTGGGGGCCCCATAAAACTCTGTTTCCATGTATGGTTAATACAACTAATCCTTATTTGTGCTCATTAATTATGTTTTTGATAAAAATCCTTTGGCTAAAATGCCATCAGAACGCTGATAAATAGAGAGGAAAAAGGGACAAGAAGAGAGGGACAAAACCTAGAACAAATAATGGATGTCTATTCTATTAACATTTCTCTATCTGTAGAATGGGTCTGTTTTATGGGTTTACTTCTCAGGGGGCCCCCTGCCTGTCTTTGCCTAGGGCCCCAAATTTCCTAAATCCGCCCCTGAGGGTATCAATACTGATTTGATAGAATCTGGGAGAGCGGACTATGTTCAACCATCCATTTTCTTTAACCTTATCCCTCAGTGGGATCAGGAGGTGCTGGTGCATATCTCTAGCCACGTTCTGGGTGAGAGGTGGGATCACCCTGGACAGGTCACCAGTCTGTCGCAGTATGTTCAACCAGCTTAAAAGTAATCGGTAATCAGATTTATTATTTGCACTTTTACTAAGTGAACTTTCTAACTCCCTTAAATCTGAAATTCCAATATATTCCAAAAAATATATTTTTTAAAATCGCAAAATAATTATAGGGTGGCTAATGCCAAAGAAAGGGTGGCTGAAGCCACCCTTAAATAGGTCTAACGACGCTTATGACCCTGACTCTCAGTCTGTTTTTTTTTTAAATGCTCTGACCTCCTTCTTTTCCCTTCCTGCTCTCCAGGTGGTGCTTTCGAGGTCAAGCAGCACTCGTTCTTCACAGAGGTGGACTGGAACAGCCTGCTGAGACAGAAAGCGGAGTTCATCCCTCACCTTGAGTCAGAGGAAGACACCAGTTATTTTGACAGTATGTTTATGTCCCTGAGGCATTGAGCCCAGAGTTCAGAACTCAATCACACACAATCAATTCATTATATGAAATTATAATACAAATTGGGAATAAGTTTGTAATTGAAATACTTCTTTTGTTTGTTTTTTTGGATTGGGTTTGGATTTTTTTTATTTTTTAATCTTTCATTCATTGACTCAGATAATACATAATATGGTATACAAATTAACAATAATAAAAATAAAATGAAAAATTATCCTTTTAAATTGTTGGGTTTGGCAGGAAATGTTGTAATCAAGCACATACGTACATTTCTAAGGCATTTAGGAATGTCGGGAGCAGCCCCAGTGGTTCCTTCAGCTCCATTCAGGAGCTAAACCTCACCTTGAGTTTACTGTTGTCTCCATCTTGTCATGATGGCCCTTCTATGTTTTGACCACATGCAGAAGCACTCACAGAGTCAGAAAGAATTTCAACAGTTTATTTGAACAAAGGTGAACAAAGTGACTAAACAACTGGTTTCTCAGCTTGGGGGAATCCAGCAGTCTGGTAAACCGGAAGTGGAAGCTTGTTGTGGTTTTGAGGTTACCCGAGGGTTCCTGTTTGTGGAGGCTTGAACTGTTTTGGAGATTACTTAGCTGGAGGGCGGACAGGCAGACTTATGGTGGTCCTGAGGAGCAGCGGAGCAGACTGTCACTAGTTTTCCTGAAGTCGGTGGCGTTCTGATAAGGTGAAACGTTTCTTTCTCAGCGAGACGAGAGGATTCCTTCCAGGGCTTGACGGACCAGCTTTTTCCAGTGGATCTGTAGAAATCCTGTCAAAGATTCACAGAGAATAACTGGGTAAAAAAAAAAAACTCAAAGTATTGACTCAACAAAACTCAGAGGGGCTAGAGTACCCAATACTGGTAAACACTCTGGCGAGGAGATGGTGACAGTCTGCTGCTCATATACTCCTCAGACGGTGATGAGCTGCAAGTGTAAGTAGTTGAGAGCAGGAAGAGACCCTCCAGACCAACAGAGGAACAATGTCACCATCTGGTGGATGCATGGAGACACTGAAAAAGAACAAAAACAACCCCCACAAACTGGAACCCTAACACATTTTGAGCAAGAATTTCACAAAAACTCTTTCCTAGGATTTTACCACAATAGGTACTGAATTAGGATTTGTATTTCTGCCCCCTTTCAGATAAAAATTGACAGTTTTAAAAGGCTGTATATACTGTAAGTGAAGTGAAGATATAAGGATCTAGAAACATAAATGCCTTTTTCAATGTTCTTCCTCGGTTCAGCACGGTCTGAGCGCTACCATCACGTGCAGTCATATGACGAAGATGACACCAACGACGATGAGCCGGTGGAGATACATCGCTTCTCGTCATGCTCTCCTCGCTTCAGCAAGGTTTGAGCCCGACGCATTGCTGGTTAGAGGTTTGCATCCACTCATTGTCGGCTCAGATGTCATGTTCTCCATCACTAGTTTGATTTTTAAATCACCAAGAAAAATAATACCAAAACAGCTGATTAAGTGTGTGGATATATATAAAAAAAAAATCATGTAGGCCCACAGTTACTATTACTGCCTTGCAGATGATGAGTGGATGTTCATTTTCTGACCAAAATTATATGTCAGCATTTTGTCCTCCTGCTCTTTCTCTTTAGCAGTACCCCTAACCCCCCCATAACCACATTACTGCTCCAACCTGTAGGTGTACAGCAGTATGGAGCATCTGTCCCAGCTGGAGCACAAACCCCACACTGTGACTCTACGGGAGCACAAGGTCCACAGGGAGGACCGGGTTACCAAACGAGAAAGCTTGGGGAGTGTCACCCTACGAGACAAGAGCTGGAGGACCAGCTCCCCGGAAATGTAAGTGAAAGAACTCCCAGATTAGGCTCCATGTTTTTTTTGTTTTTGTTTTAAAACCTTCCTGATCTTCTATGTGGTTCTGCTTTGTTTTTTAAGGAAGCGTCTGTCCTGCTCAGAGTCCTTCTTCACTGAAAGCGACTCTAGTCCACCGTCCGGAGCCCGCAGGCGCTTCTCCGCTCTCATGGATATGAGCCGCTTCGCTTCACCTCAGGAGCTGGACACGGAGCCATCAGGTCCAGGAAAGCAGCCTCCTGTGAAAACCAGAGGCGCCTCCCTGGAAGGGGCCGCCCCCTCTCATGGAGACCTGAGAACATTCCTTAAAGATGGGAACGGCCACACAGCAGCAGGTAGGGTCCCGCCCACCCTAACCCATTTGATCTATACTTTCTAGGAGCATTTCTTTTCACTTTGGGTTCATGGTTCTGCTTTTTTCACAGACAAACTTTTGAGACCTGAGTCATCATTGCCGCTGCCAGGCAGCGCAAGTAATCTGGGACTGCCTGATCTTCAGGGGCCCCGTGGGGCCGCTACAGACCTGGTACTGCGAAGGGTCCGACACCAGCAGCTGTCGTCTGAAGGAGAAAAGCATAGCTCACGTCCAGGGACTAAAGTCATCAAATCTGCTTCAGCTACTGCGCTGTCCGTCATCATTCCAGCAGGTGACGCCTCAGATCACTTGATTAGGAAATTATAAAAAAAAAAGTGTTGGGAAGAAAAATCTAAACCCTGTTCTTTCTATCCTCAGTGGAGCAGCACGGTGCCTCCCCGCTGCCCAGCCCCATGTCTCCTCGCTCCCTCTCGTCCAATCCCTCCTCCCGGGACTCCTCTCCAAGCAGAGATTTCTGTCCCATGGTGAACGTTCTGCACTCTCCGATCACCATCCACCGCTCTGGCAAGAAGTATGGTTTCACCCTCCGAGCAATTCGTGTGTACATAGGAGACAGTGACGTCTACAGCGTGCACCACATGGTCTGGGTAAGAACAGATATGAAGCGGGTGAAGGCGGGTGAACAGAGCCTCCGAAAATTGGATAATCCTTCTCACTCATTCATCAAGTTGGAGCCAAAAACTTCCAAGTCTTCTATTGGGGTTTTATGTGACATAACAGGACAAAGTGGTGCATTATGTTCTGCAGGTTGAAGTTTTAACATCAGTACCTTGGAACAATGTTTTATCAGTTGCATACATGGGAACAAGCATTTCCTGTTTTTTGTATCGCATAAATAAAGAGCATCGCGACTGGACCTTGATTACAGCATGAGTTACCTGCTGGCAAACATGCTACAATATCAAGGTGAAAGTCATCATTAGACCCAGCTCCAAACCCAACTTTGAGAATAGATTAATATTTGGTTTATTGCCCTATAAGAGTCTGCCGTTAATGCCGATAACAGACCACAACTACTTAAAATCCATTTAAATGAATTGTTGTACCGTGACGAAATGTGTTCTGTCACTGCAAACATACCTGGCTTGCTTGTTGTACTTGCATTTTAATATCTGTCTCATTTATATAAAACTACCCGCTTCTATTGCAGCATGTCGAGGATGGAGGTCCTGCTCAGGAGGCTGGACTTAAAGCTGGGGATCTCATCACTCATGTAAACGGCGAGTCAGTCCATGGTCTTGTCCATACAGAAGTAGTGGAGCTCATCCTGAAGGTAAAAAAACAACAAACTAAACATATAAGATGACATAAAGGTTTTGCTTATATGTTGATCGGTTAAAAATGTGTAAGTAAACGTGTGATCCACAGAGTGGAAACAAGGTCACAGTCACAACCACTCCCTTTGAGAACACCTCCATAAAAGTAGGGCCGGCCCGCAAGTCCAGCTACAAATCCAAAATGGCGCGTCGCAGCAAAAGGACGGGAGTCAAGGAGGGACAAGAGTAAGTCCTCATATAACAGAAGAACGGGGTTGGATTACAGACTCTGTAAGGTTTAAATCACTTTGTTTTGTTTGTTTTTTCCTTTTCTTTTAGTAAGAAACGCAGCTCGCTCTTCAGGAAGATAACAAAGCAGTCCAGCCTTCTCCAAACAAGCCGCAGCCTCTCCTCCTTGAATCGTTCGCTGTCTTCCGGTGACAGTCTGCCGGGATCCCCCACCCACAGCTTCTCCGCCCGCTCTCCTACACAAAGTTACCGCTCTACTCTGGAATCCCCATATCTGGGTTAGTAAGACACTTATCTGTAAAATAAAGGCATTGCTGCATCTTTGATCCCAACCCAGAACTAGACAGGGATATTTAAGAAAAGATAAAACATAGAGACTGTTAATGCATTAATAGAGCTTTAAAAGAAACACAGACTCATTAAACACAAACATAAACTATACCGCAAATGAAACTGTGAAAATCCATTTTAGATTTAATACAATGGAGAAACTATCGGTAAGCAGAGACTGCAGTTGCTTAGGGCCCCCCGACCTCTTAGGGGCCCCGTCACTGACACCTGGTGGACCCCCTACACAATTGTGAATTAGGACGTCTCTTTGCAGATGTAATGTTGCAAAAAATTCCTCTTAAACCCACCTGATACTAGATGAGCTGACCGGACCTGGGGGTAGATGGGGTGTTGTACTTCACATGGTGCCCAACCCAGATAATGTTTATTTTTGTGTGTCGTTACACCATTGATTAAATGTAATATAAAACTAGACTAATAAAAAAGGAGTTTTAGAAAAGAAGTTTGTTATTTCCCACAGAAATATAAGAAACTTTATACAGCAGACAGTGATCGGAAAGTTGAGAGGAAGGAAAAATGTAGGTAAATAAGATGCTTACACAGGCTTATCCTATACATCCATTTTTAAGCCACTAGTTTTTTTTTTTCAGTGTTTTTATTGTCATTACACTGTCACAAGTACAGAGCAACGAAATTAACTCTCTGCATTTAACTCATCCCCTTGGGGAACAGTGGGCTGCCATCATGGGGCGCCCGAGGAGCAGTGTGGCTAGAACTCAGAACCGCTGGATTCCAAGTCCAATGCCCTAACCACTAGGCCGCCCCTCCCGTCATGAATCTAACTCATGAATCTAAATCAATGTCAAAATTTATTCCCCTGGGCTAAAGAAGGCTAAATGGTAGTAGAAAGCAATGATTCAAAGTCATCTGATGATTCATATGAAAGTCAGCTTTGTGCTTCATTTAAAAATATAAATCCCAAAGTGTTATAGAAGAGTGGAGAGGCAGAGAATCCAACTTTGCTGGAATTCAAAGCAAAGTTTTTAACAGTCAATGAAGATATGTGTAGCTATGTTGGTTGGTGTTCAGGAGATGTCAGAGCATTTCTTGCTTCCCTCTACTAAAGAGCTTCATGGTGACTTTATTTCCCAGCCTTCCTTGGAACTTGCAGATACAACCAAAAGTATCAACACCTGCTTTAAGCTTACGTATGAGAATGTTCTGATCAGCCCAACTTTCAGCCTGATCATGTGTCGTGTAGTGTACAGGGGGTAGCGAGGGGGGATCAGCCTGTCATAACCACCTCCCAATCAGCATAGTAGAGGTGTAATAGTTAATTCTGTAAAATTGACAGACCGTAGTAGCCATGTATTTGTCCCAATACGTCGTCGCATTTTCTTTTTAGGGCTTTCAGCACAAAATTGCACAAGTTGCCATGGCAGCGCATTTCACTCTAGTGAGCTTCATTTTCCTCTTCTACTCGTTTGGCTTCTGGATAAACGAGTCAGAGTAGCGCCATCTAACTGTGGAGCTGAGCCCGACATCGTTTTTAGACGTACAGAGTGAGCAGGTAGATTGCATCAGAGCGTCATGCTGCACATACATCGTGAGCTGTGAACTCAAACTGTACGACAAAACCACATTGGGAGCTGTAGCTGCGTGCAATGATTGAAAAAAATCGCACAGTGTATGTCCGGCTTTAAAGGGATCCATGACTAGTTGAACTACTAGTTTAACTATCTTGCAAGCTTTATTTATCCAAAAAAGGGTAACAGAAGCAAAAATCCGAAAAAATAAATCCACAAAATCCAAAAATATTGAAAAATCAGGAATACTCACTCAACAAGGGGGCAAAGAAATGACGACACACCAGCAACAGTGACTGAGTCGAAGTTGAAAATTTGGGGCGAGAGAAACAAAGATTAGGCTAATCAGCAGATTGGGAGCAGGTGTGAACAGAAGAGTCTAGAAGGGAGCTAGAAGAGAAGGAGGCTGATAGAAGAGGGCAACACAGGGCAAACAAGAAATGCCAATCCCCCCTTAACGGCAATCCCCCCCTTTAACGACCGACCCTCAGAATCATAGACAGGTTTCAGATATTACAGGCTAACGATGGAACAAAACGACCCATTCATCGGTTACCATTTGCATGTTTCCAAGCGATACAAGGCTTTGTCTATATAAGACTCAAACTCACTGCGGATCCAGATATTTGAATTGAGAAAGCTTCCTGGAGAGGTGGCGAAACGTCTTCAAATCTTGGAAATCAAGTCCACTGGATATTTTTGAATTTTTACGCAAACAAATGCTAAGAACTCAAATACCTCCTGAAAACACCACAAATAGCAATTAAAACAATAAAACTAGAAAACACAGAAAAACATGGATCAAAGTGAAACGGAAAACTCAAAAGAACACTTAAACAGAACTAAAACCGTGACAAATGTTTCCCGTAAACAACTTCAGTTTGAAACTGTTTTGGTTGGACAGAGCTAACTCTAAGTGACCTAACATATGTGTTTTTTTTACCCAGAATGCATTGCAGCATATACAACACGGTGAAGTTTGTGTGACAATATTTTTTAAAATACAGAAAATAAAAATAAAACAGCTTACAGTATTTTTACTGTATTGCAGTTTCATTGAAAATAACAATTTTTCAAATAAAGTCTTTTGTTAAAATTAAACCCCTAAATATGACTTTGCTTGAAGTTTTCCCCAATCAAAACCCCACAGGGAATCTACAGAGCATTCTCTGGAGAAGCATGAATAAATTAAATATATTAATCTGTTTGCGGTAAATCCCTTTGATGATTTTCATATTTTGAATTGAACTATTGGAATAAATAAGAAATAATGTCGTTAATAAGGATGTAAATAAATGTCTCCTCAGGCACGTCGTCCCAGAGCAGCTCTCCGGCATCGAGCACCCCAAACTCCCCTGCTACCTCCCACCACATGAGGCCCAGCTCCCTGCACGGCCTTTCCCCCAAACTCCACCGCCAGTACCGCTCTGCGCGCTGCAAATCCGCTGGTAACATCCCACTGTCCCCTCTGGCTCACACCCCGTCCCCGACCACGTCTTCCCCTCCACCTCTTACGGGCCACACGGTGGGTAGCTCCAACACCACCCAAACGTTCCCTGCCAAGCTCCACTCCTCGCCTCCCGTTGCCCGTCCTCGTCCCAAGAGTGCTGAACCGCCCAGGTCCCCCCTTCTGCAGCGGGTGCAGTCTGCAGAAAAGCTCGGGGGGCCCATCCTACCCTCCTCCTCTTCATCATCGTCAACACCTTCCCCTTTGACGGGAGGGGTGTCATTGCGTAAGCATAGCCTGGAGGTGTCCCACGGGGACTACAGACGAGAGTCCTTCCACTGTGAACACAGCCTGCAAAGTTTGCTAGAGATAGAAGGAGAGAACGGACCAGCTCCTCCCTCTCCATCATCTTCTTCCTCCCCTTCTCCTCCTATGGGAGCAGACATTGGAGGCCTGAGCCATGTGAGGAGGCTGGGAAGGCAGGAATCCCTACTCAGCAGAGACACAATTGTGACAGCAAAGGAAAAAGACTCTAGAACATCAGCACCTGAGCCCTCTGGGTTGCAAAGTGCAGTTCCTCCAGCAGATGTTGATAAAAGCAAACCGTCACCCAAAGAGGCTGCAGGGGGCAATGGATGCACGAATGCAGCTGAAATGAAGTCTATTACCTTATCTGCGGACATCAAAACAGGCTCTGGTATCAAACAGGTAAGCGTAAAGGCATTAACTTCAGAGGCAACAGCCTTTCAGACCAAAGCAACTGAGAAGAGCTTAACTCCAGGCACATCTAGGCTGCACAGCGCACTGATCGAAGAGGGGCGTGCTACTAAAGCTCAGGAGAAGACGGAAGGAAAAGAAAAAGGCACTTTGGTTGTAGAGAAAGAAAATGTGCAGAAAACAGCAACCATTGAGCAATTCAGGCAGCGTAAAGGCTCAGAGACCGGAGATAAAGAAGGAATAGGCGGAAACGTCAGAGCGACTGATGCAACCAAGGCCAAAGTACCTTTATTCCCTGGTCCAACTCAGACACACCCTGCATCCAGACACAGAACGGAGAGGTCAGCGAACGGGAACTGTGGGATCAAAGAGGAGAAGACACAGCTGGAAGTCCTGGAGGAAAACCCAGCATCTCCTTCATCCAACGCAGCGTCCCCCTGCTCAAACAAGTCCCGGTCCATGTCTCCGGGGGACAAAACCAGCTTCGTCACCCAGCTCACAACCGTGGCTAAAACAGTACTCGGACCCATTAAAGGAGGGTCTCAAGAAGGCGGGAAGATGAAAGACACGTCAAAGTCAGGTGAGGAGAAGAAGGGAAGCACGGCGGGGAAAGCAGAGGCCTCATCTACGGGGGGCCGCCGGGGGCCTCAGGGCTCCACCGCAGCCGCTGTTCACTCTGATAAAGGTAACATTCGAAGCTCTAAACATCACTCATGATGCAAAAGCCTCCGAAACTCAAAGACTATCCCGTGTAATGCCTTTAACTGTAGCATCAGACTGAAATATCATGAATTTGTATGATGCAAAGAGAAAAATGCCTGAACAAAATAAAATAGAAAATTTAAAAGGAGTAAAAAAGAGGTCAGCAATGATCAGCTACTCTTGAGAAATGTGCACATGGTTTGTTGATGTAGAGCTGTGTATGTACTGTATGCTCATCTCCACGTGGTGTATATTGTATTAAAAAAAAAGCATATGTCTTTAATGCATGTCTTACGGAGAATGGAAGACCATTTAAAAAGAGGAAACTTATCATTCAGACCTTGAGATAGAAAACACTGTGAACAATGTTTCAACTTGTCAAGCAGACTTTTGACTGTGTTGACAGTAGGATTCTGTTAGAAAAGGGCATTACTTGCATTTTAGCTGAGTTTAGCTGAAGTTATTCAGTTCTTTGCTGTATTTATTTGAAATTCAGGTCCAAAAAAGCTGAATGAGGAACCAGCAGATTGAGTTTTAATGCCTGACACACATAGGATTACAGTGCCTTGCAAAATGCCCCTTGAAATGTGTCACAGCTTTTTGCACATGTGGAGAATGATAGTTCCTCCCAATTTCTTTTGCAAAATAGCTTACCGGGTACCTTCCATCAGACTGGATTGAGAACAACCATTTTTCTTGAATTTGATTTTCTTGAGTTGAATTTCAGGTTTGCCATCTTCTTTCCGAAAAATCTGTTGCCACTGCTGCAGGATCATTTCAAGCTTTTTTCATTGTCTAGCAGGTTTTCTTCCTGTTATTTCCTGTCTTTTCATAAACTCTTATCAGCCATGCTAAACAAAATAATGCCTCTCTATGTTGTTGACAGCATGTTTTTTGGATTGGGTGTTCAGTTTTAGGTCAAGTGTTTGTTTTCATCAGAGATGGCAAAAGTACTTACTTTCCGTACTTGAGTAAAAGTACAGATACTTGTGTTAAAAAATACTCTGGTAAAAGTGGAAGTACTGATTAAACTTCTT